TATATAAACGACTCTGCTTTTATTGTACACAGATCTTCACTGCGCATTATTCAGATTTTCCCCAATGGTTTGCATGTTGTTTGCATGAAGATTTTTATGAATGTTTAATTAGCAGTATCTGAACAGCAGATGGTTCTGGTGTCTCACACACACACACACACACACACACAGTCGTCATTATTGCAGCTTTTTTGTTGTGCCAAGGATGAAGAAAAAACAGTAAACTGGACTTTATTTAAGAGAAATCTTCATGTGTGGACTAATATCAGCATAACCAGTGTTAATAAATCATAATTCAGTGTTCGGGTCAATGACAAGACACTCCCTAAGATTCAGATTTATTAAAATGCAGTTCATATTTAATTAATTATGATATTTTTGTGTTTAAAAGGCTTAGATAGTGTTTTTTTATGCTCACCAAGGCATTTATTTGATTACAAATACAGTAAAAACAGTAATATTGTGAAATATTATTATAATTTAAAAAAAAGCTATTCTATGTGAATATATAGTAAAGTGTAATTTATTCCTGTGATCAAAACTGTATTTTCAGCATCATTACTCCAGTATTCAGAAATCACTCTAATATGATGATTTGATGCATTTATGATTATTATTATCAATGTTGAGAAATGAAACCGTTTTATTCATACATACGTTTTATTTTAGGATTCTTTTATGAATTCTTTTATAAAGTTCTAAAAGAACAGCATTTATTTGAAATATAATATTTTGTAGTATTATTATAAATCTCTGTCACTTTTGATCAGTATGTATATTTGATATTTTTAAAGTTAATTAACAATATATATATATATATATACACGTTTATAAATCTATCTAAATTCAGCATATTTCTATATTTGTTCAGAAAACCATCTGGAAATACAAATTCTCCCAGCTGAAGGGTTCATCGGATGACGGCAAGACACGAGTAAAGCTTTTGTTCCAGAATTCAGAGACTAAACAGATCGAAATGAAGGTCAGAATGTGTTTACGTGTGAATATATGTTTTATATATTTATGCTGTATAACAATATAATGTTAATAATATTTATCGGGTTTAAAATATATACTGTTTTGAAGTCTTTTCTTTTGAAATTGTTCATAATAGAAAGGATTCAGTTTAATAACAGAAATAATGTGCAAGAAAAAAATCCTCTCTTTTTTTTAAATGGAACCGTTTATTGAAACTGTGTTTTTTGTTGAATTTCAAATTTGATAAATCAGTTTTTTATGGCTCATATATTATGATACAGTGATAACATGGTGGTGAAAAGCAGCTAAATTTTATCATGAGACTTAAACTGAGCAAAAATATGAAATATGGTGCAGGTGCTGATATTTATATGGAATTTTTGAATGGGATATATATATATGCAAATCAATGAGATTTTGTAACATTATAACAGACTACTGACATAACATGCACATAAATATCAGTCGTCGCTCTGCCAGTAATGAGATGATATTTAAATGCTTAGATTTATGATTAAAGCTCTAGTTTTAAAATATTTTTATTATGGCAAGCCGTTTTAGCTTTTATTCATTTCCAGGATATGAATTTTTGAAATCAACAATTTAATTGCTGATATCTGTAATTGTATTTTCACTAGTGAAATTTCACCATAGGCTGCCATTCAAAATACATTGTTGATATCAAGAATTGATTTTTTACTAGTAGAAATATCATTTTTGATATCAATAATTACAGTGTTACTAGTAAAAATGAGAATTCCTGATATCAATAATTAAATTGTCACTAGTTGAAATGTCTATTCTTGATATCAACAATTCAATTGGTACTAGTAAAAATTTTCGTTTTTGAAATCTGAAAATGTATTTCTGATATCAATATTATTTCAGATATCTAAAATGGCTTTCTTACTAGTAGCAATCACATTCATGATATCAGAAATGAACATTGTCACTAGTAAAAATTTAATTATTGATATCAAAAATGATCATTGTTAGTAGCAATTCAATTGTGGATATCAAGAATAGACATTTCAGCTAGTAACAATTGAATTCTTGATATCAAAAATAAAAGTTTTTACTAGTAATAATTGTATTTCTGTAAAATGAATCAAGTAAACCGAAGTTGATTCAGTCCAGTATTGATCTTGAAATATCAGGAACAGTTATTCTTATGTTTACTTGATAAAAATCACTGCAGATTTCACAGGAAAAAGACGAAGCTGAAGGTGGACGTTTACTAAAAGACTTTCATGTGCTTTTGTATTTAATAAACCATTGCTGTGCTGTGACAGATGTTGACTTGAAAGAGAAAACTGCACTCTCATGTGAAAGCTGACATGGGGAATTGCGTGGAAGCGTTTGCATAGATGCCTTCTGTGTTATGTGTTATATATTGATATCGGCGAGAAAAAAGGTACAAAAGCTGTCACTGTGGCGGTACCTTTTCAAATAGTACACTTTTGTACCAAAAGGATGCATATTGGTACCTTAATGGTACATACTAGCACCTAAAATGTACATACTAACACCTAAAATCTATATATTAGCACCTAAAATGCACATATTAGCACCTAAAATGGGCATATTAGCACCTAGATGTCCATATTAGCATCTAAAATAGACATATTATCACCTAAATGTCCATATTATCACCTAAATGTCCATATTAGCACCTAAAATGTACACTTTAGCCTCTAAAATGCACATATTAGCACCTAAATTTCCATATTAGCACCTAAAATGTACATAATAGTACATAAAATGTCCATGATAGCAACTAAAATGCACATATTAGCACCTAAATGTCCATATTACTACCTAAAATGGACAAAAGTTTACCTTTTGAAAAGATACAGCCCCATTGACAGCTTTCGTACCTTTTTTTTCTGAGAGACGTTGTGTTTTCCAACAGGAGCTGGAGTTTGCGAATCTGACGGCTGTCCTTCATTGCATTCACTCGTTCATCGCCGCTAAAGTGGCCACGGTGGATCCCGTCTTCGTCAACAGTCAAAGTCTCACGCAGAAGTACATGTGCAACAGCTAGAAACATCTGTACAACCTCCGATTTTATGCACAATATCTATCTAGTTCTTGTTATTTTTGTACGAATCTTCTAAATTCAGAACGACGTTTAAGGAACACTTTGAGTAGATGATATTTTGACATGCATTGAGTTATGATTTCTTTACTAATACGATCAATCATGTGCTTAACCTGAACTCATATTGATTATGTAGCAAAGCAGATGTTGATATACGGCATTATAAGTTGATGCATGAACTGCATTTGACAATTTTACAGGGCAAAACGGGTGAAACTTTCAGCTGTAAAATCAACCAAACTTTAGCCGATATATGACTTTGTGTTCTTTTGCCCTATTGTTCTTTATTCGATGCCTCAAACCTCCTAATTTAGCACAAAGCATAATAGCAAGTCATATATGATTTTAATGTCATTTCTGACGGTTCTCTGCATTTGAATGAAAGTGCTGCCTATGTTGAAATGATTTGATATGTGTTAATATGAAGTAGTGGTTTGATTAACAGTTATTAGACGGTCTTGCCAGCTACTGTCCTTGAGAAGTGAGATTTTCTAAGAATCAAAGTCCCTGATCTGCTGTTCTATTTAGTTTGATGTTATTCCAGTTCTTTTCCAAATAAAGGAATGATTAGTTCACTGCTGATCCATACGGCATCATTCTTGTGTGGCTCCTGAAAAAGTTTATATGTAAAAATGTTTATATACTATACTACATAACAAAAAAACAAGTAAATATATCTCTATATATAGTAAAAAAATATTTTCATGATTTGTAATCACATTTTTTCTTTTGTCAAATCAACTTGAATAATTTTTGTAGTTCAGATAACAATAATATTTTGAGTTTCTGATGATAAAATCATCATTGTATTAACTCAATTTTTCCATTTCAATGAACTTAATTTTTTAAGGCAACCAGGTTATTTATTTTAATTTTTGTAGTTCAGATAACAATAATATTTTGAGTTTCTGATGATAAAATCATCATTGTATTAACTCAATTTTTCCATTTCAATGAACTTAATTTTTTAAGGCAACCAGGTTATTTATTTTTTAAAGTTAAACCAACAATATTTTTTACAGTGATTTAACTAAATAATACACAAATCTATCTATCTATCTATCTATCTATCTATCTATCTATCTATCTATCTATCTATCTATCTATCTATCTATCTAAAATACTTTTTTAAAGGTAAAATACTTTACATTTATTTATATAACCCTCAACAGGTGAGATATAAATCTGAAAATATAGTACATTTGATTATAGAACTATATATCGTTCACTTTTATTACTATATCTTTTCAACTGTTATATAGAGCCTAAATTACATGATTCATTTGTTTGTTTGCCTGGGTCAAATGAATCCCAAACAAAGTAACATATTTAAATAATTATGAGGGGGGAATAATTCGTTAATTTCACAATGACTATTATTTTTTACACATGCAATCAGTTATGAAGAATAATTGAACGTGAAGGATAATTAACATTATACCACAACACACTTGGTGAATTAATCATTGTCGGTTCGTTTAATTAGCAATTTTGAATCATGAACATTAAATGGGCTACATGCAGCAGTTTTGATAGACGATAAACGGACTTTAAGTTGTTTTAAAATGTGTGATTGTCTAGAAATTATGAAAGCAAGTGTCTTCTGTAAAAAAAAAAAAATGGCGTGATAGTGTTTCAAAAACCTCATAAATCAGACAGTGAACCGACTCTGAAGAACAACAGGCCTCGTCTGAAGCGCTCGCTCGGCTCGGGTCAGTTCAAAACACATCTCGAGTGATGATGAAGGAGAAAACATCTCGAGTCGAGAGATGAAGACGTGTTGAAAACACGTCATTCCTCGATGTCCACTCTGTAGGGCTCTTGAATCGCATGAAGAGCTTCAGGAGCCAAGAACTTACGTCAGATGAGCTGGTGTTTTTGTTTCTGTCAAGAGTCATTGACGCCATTCGCTGAAAGTGTTGTCCTGAACATGAACATTAGAACTGTTTAAACATCATTGAGCTGTTTTGAGCCAGTTATTAGTGGTGTTTACTAAGGTAAGCATGTTAATATTGCTCACTCATGTTTACATCGAAAACAAATCCAGTCAGCGAAATCAACTGTGCTATAATAAACAATACGTTACATAATGCACCATTTTGCCCACACTAGTTCGCTAATATGTCCGCCCTTTGTTTACTGTTAGTGATTTCAACAAAATGGCAGGGAGAAACCACCTAGAAAGCACTCAAAAAACTCATAAAAAATGCATTGAGGCAGTGTGTGTTGCTGCACTCGTGTATTGTTCAGACATAGTAATTGTAATCTATCACATATTTGTGATATTGTTATAGGCAATGTGACATGGATTCTCATAAATGAATGATTTAAAATCTTTTTACAGCCTTTTAGATGATTATACTTAAGAGTACAAACTAGGACATCATCTAGTGCAGTTACTCCCAATGAAGCCTTGCTATTAATCTAGATTAATGACTTGACTTAATTTAATTATGGATCATTGTCCAGCCAAAGATCATCTTTCAGAATTGACTATTCAAATGAGTTATGCCAAAAGCATCAGGTCCACAGCTCAAATCATTTGTTGAGTAAGAGTTCACAGATGGACATTTCCCTGAAAATGAGATGATCGTGAGTCATTTATTGGAATATTCCAGCCAAAAATGAAAATACGGTTTGTAAATGATGACCGAATGGTCTGTTTTAGGCGAACTATTCCACTTAGGCTGTGAAATGTCAAGCTTTTGCAGATAATGATGATTTCCAAGTCCTGACAGATGCTTGACATGAGCTTGTGTTGTGTTTAAAGAGGGCCACTCCAGCGACACGCTTCGTGAAGCCAGAGCCTTGAAAAGCAAGAGTTTTGTTGGAATCAGCCGAGTTTGACTGTCAGGGGAGAGTGAACACAGCCGACTGGAAAAACACACACAACCTCGCAGAGACCAGAGGTAGGAACTTGAGATACTGTATCATTACAAACAGATGTTTATTTTAGAGTGAAGACTCTTCTGCTTGCCATTTATTTGATCAGAAATACAGTGAAATATGATTACAATTTAAAATAGCTGTTTTTTGTTGTTGTTGTTGTTGTAGTTTAAGTCGCTGATCTGTCACACTGAAAGATTTCTAAACATTATTAGTGGGTCTACACACAACCTTTCTGAAGTTTGAGCTTGGTAAGTTTATTTAATGTTTCTGAAAACATCTTCCGTCTATTCTGCTCACTAAGGCTGCATTTATTTGATCACAAAAACAGATAAATGTATTTACGGGTTTATCAGACAGGTAAAATAATCATTTTAAATAGCTGTTCTCTATGTGAAAATATGTTAAACTGTAATTTATTCCTGTGATCAAAGCTGAATTTTTAGCCTTATTACTTCAGTCTTCAGTCACATGATCCTTCAGAAATCACTCTAATATGATGATTTGATGCTCAGGAAACATTTATGAATATTATCAATGTTAAAAACTGTGCTGTGGAAACCCCCTGATTCAAACATGAATATGAACTTTGATGGACAGAAGCTTCTAAAAAACAGCATTTATTTGAAATAGAATCTTTTGTAACATTGTGATGAAACATCAATGATCAATTCAATGAGTCCTTCTTTCAAAAATCTAAATCTATATATGAAGAGTTCAGATGCAAAAGCCTCTAAGTGGCATTTGACATTTTCTTCTAGAATGATAATTTTTATCAAGCTTGTATATTTAAGTTCAGTGATTTCACTTAAATAACAATTAATAGGTAATTATCATTGCCATTTAAGTGAAATCACTGAACTTAAATATACAAGTTTGATAAAAAATCATCATTAAAGAAGAAAATTTCAAATGGCATTTAGAGGCTTTTGCATCTGAACTCTTCATATACACGTGTGCACGTTACAGTGATGTATCACCAATATATTAGTTTAATTAATTTTTTTTAAACAAATTGTGCACATTTTTTAGCAGTGAGGAAATGTCTGGATTATTAAAGTTAAAAAAAGTAAATGTTTATGCTGCCTTAACATTTTACGTTTAGTCAACTCAAATATACAAGTCGTCACTGCTACAACTTCACATTCAAGTTAACTAAACTTAACATTTTAGGCAGAAAAAACACCAACTTTTTAAGTTGAAACAATTGTATATGTGCATAATAGTATTTATTGTGCTAAGTTTAATTGTTGCTATGCAAATGGCTGATATGAGCAGAAAATAACTTTTTTTGACAATATTTCACAAAATTAATTGAAATTCTTTTGCTCTTGGCGCAAAACATGACTTAAATTCATATATTTAAGTAATAACTTGGTTCATAGAATTATATTGTTTATTTAGATCACTTTTAGTGGCGTATAGACATAATAAATAGTGTTTAATCATTCTGTGATGAGTGTATTTATACACTTCAAACAGCTTTTACTGTCTAATGCCTTATTTTCAGTTAATTAAAAGCATTTTTTCTTTTCTTTCAGGTCAGAGACAGCATGGCTGGTGTTCGGATGTGTTTGACCTCTCTCATGATGTGCTGCAATCTGAGCACAGATTCATCTCAGCGTATGTGGCGTCTTTCACATATACTTTACAGTTCCGCATCTATAAATAAGATGTTCTGTAACATATGCACGCCAGTCCTGATGTTGATGATTTGTGGGTAATTGCCGTTATTTCACAACAAGTTCTGTAGCAACTAAGCAAAGACTTTCGAATGGGATTCGGTGGCAATTACCAGAACTCAACACAGAGTATTATTCTTACAGCCAGCTGGAGACAGATTCATTACGGGTTATTTTGTACCTGCTGACATTTAGTTTAGACCCAATGTTCCAGCCACATCTGGTACCTGACATCTCCTGTGGTGGCCCTTGGGATATTTCCCATGAAATTGCAGGTCTCGACACGTATAACAGGAAGGTCAGATGCCGAACGGGACAGCATTGTTATGTTACCGTCTTCTTGTAAAAAGTACATGGGTTGTTGGTTAGTATTAGAAAGCATGTTGTATAATGTCTGATTCTCTCCCAGTGGGGAATGCCGTCTTTCCAATTCAGGAATATAATGTTCTGAGTCTGAATGATGGTTTGGCCCCACAGGAAGAGCGTGGCTTTGATGCGCTTGTGTGGGCCGCATAATCAGAGCTGACGTTGGGACGTTTCTCAAAAAAAAACACAGCGTTCTTTAACTAGACACGAATGCCAAGACGCATTCATAAGCCCACCCTAGAGACATTACATTAATGTAAAACCTGAGTGAATCTGAATATTGCACATTTCATTTTCATATCACTAAAGGACATGAGCAGTTTAATTAAATTTTCCTTTTTATCTGCAATGACAATGTGGATTTCTGGGAGGATTTTTCTTGACGTCTGTATAATGCAGACACAGCCTCGTGTAACATAATAAAAAAGCACCAAGTGAAATATATTAATAATAATATACAGTATGTGTGTGTGTAGCTAACATTCTGGCAAGATACTCTCAAAGTCATAAACAAACATTCTTCTGTCTATACTGTAAGATTAATAGAACGTTCCTTCAAGGTTCTCTTGTCTTTAATAATGTTCTCATGGAATGTTTTAGTTGGACGTTTGTCTAACATTTTTTAAACGTTACTTCTCGGAATTCAGAATGTTCAGAGAACATTTAAATGTAACAGTCTCGTGTGGTTTGCAGAATGGAATGTTCCTGTAAGAAAAGTTTTTTTTTTTTTTTTTTGTGACACTTTACTAAAAGTCTTTATATATATAATCAATGCATTATAAAGTTATTCGTAATACAGTATACTTAAAGGAGTAGTAAAACTTTTGCTGATAATTTACTCACCCCCGATGTCATCCAAGATGTCCATGTCATTCTTTCTTCAGTCGAAAAGAAATTAAGGTTTTTGATGAAAACATTCCAGGATTTTTCTCCATATAATGGACTTCAATGGGGTCCAAACGGTTTAAGGTCCAAAAGACAGTTTCAGTGCAACTTCAAAGGGTTTTAAACGACACCAGACGATGAATAAGGGTCTTATCTAGCGAAACGATCGCTTATTTAAAAAATAAATAAAGTTTAAGTTTTATAAGCTCAAATGCTCGCCTTGCTCTGTTCTGTGATGCGCGTTCGTGACTCTCCTGTTCGAACTTGTTTATCAAATTAACAAATCTTTTTTCGTGTTATTTGGTTCATTCAACGAACGAAACGAACGAATTGACTCGAATGAACGAATTGTTCATTTTGATGAACGAGTTCGAACAGGAGAGTCACGAACGCGCATCACAGAACAGAGCAAGGCGAGCATTTGTGCTTATAAAACTTAAACTTTGTTATTTATTTATTAAATGAGCGATCGTTTCGCTTGATAAGACCCTTATTCATCGGCTGGTGTCGTTTAAAGCCCTTTGAACAGTTTGCACTGAAACTCTCATTTGGATCTTGAACTGTTTGGACCCCATTGAAGTCCATTATATGGAGAAAATCCTGGAATGTTTTCATCAAAAACTTTAATTTCTTTTCGACTGAAGAAAGAAAGACATGGACATCTTGGACGACATAGGGGTGAGTAAATTATCAGCAAAAGTTTTTTTTAAAGTGAACTACTCCTTTAATAATCCATTATTAAAATGCATTATAATATTCATTGATTACATCTGCAATTGGTAGCTTGTGGTGCTAAGTGCTTAAACTTTCTCTGAAAACTAGTGATTCCCGAGAGCTTGATTATATCTTCATTCCAAGAGAGTCTTCAGCTGGTCAATGCCGCACTGAATCGAACCGCACGAGGGTAAACTACAGTCATTGTTATCATCTAAACTCATTTTGTCTCCGGATATAGTGAGGAGAGATGGTGTTTCCCTGTTTTCCTCTGAGTAGCAGGTTAGATCCTCAGACGCCTCCTTCACAGATGTACACACTCTCCAGACAGGGATCGACAGAAACACAACACATCTGCAGATCAGCCGAGGTCTTCCACATGACTCTAGGGCTTTTGAAGGAGAAGGCGAGCAGGAGACAGAGGAGATCACTGGCTGTGTCAGGTGAGGTGAGCATACGTACTTGACCAAAGGCCGTGTCTCAATCTTCTTGACGATGACGTTTGGTTTTAAATTGCAGAGCTTAAAAATCTTTTTACATTATTTTTCATACATGATGAATGGCGACTGTAGAACACAAAAGCCCAATCCCGGACATTACGGGCGATCTCGAAACACATTTACGGGCAAACTCATCACGGAGACTCACTAGTAGCCTAGACTTGGGAGTTGTTGTTTTTCATCCACATAAGCCAAAAATACATTTTCTGGCTTTTCTCAGTCTAGAAAACTCCAAATTCAAAAAATAATTTCACATTTCTTCTATATACAGTGGTGTGAATAAGTTTTGGCACCCATGCTAAAGTTGCCTAAAAAGAGGAATAAAAAATCATCTTTTGGATATTGATCTTAATCCCTTAATTAGAAAAATGAGGAAAACTCCAACCTTTAAGGACACCAATTTTCTTTGTGAATGAATAATGTATCATAAATAAATAAATGTTTTTCCTTAAAATACAGGGTGCATAAGTCAGGACACCCCTATGTTAAATTCCCATAGAGTCAGGCAGATTTTTATTTTTAAAAGCCAGTTATTTCATGGATCCAGGATAATATGCATCCTGATAAAGTTCCCTTGGCCTTTGGAATTAAAATATCCATTCACCATGCCTTGAGATTGGCACGGTTTTACTTCAGTTAGCCTAATAGCTGGTTTGATTTGCATTGAAAGATGATCTTATGGAAAGTACCCCATGCCAATCTCTAGGTGTGGTGAATGGTGTGTGATGATGTGGGGATATTTTAATTCCAAAGGCCAAGGGAACTTTATCAGGATGCATATTATCCTGGATCCATGAAATAACTGGCTTTTAAAAATAAAAATCTGCCTGACTCTATGGGAATTTAACATAGGGGTGTCCTGACTTATGCACCCTGTATTTTAAGGAAAAACATTTATTTATTTATGATACATTATTCATTCACAAAGAAAATTGGTGTCCTTAAAGGTTGGAGTTTTCCTCATTTTTCTAATTAAGGGATTAAGATCAATATCCAAAAGATGATTTTTTATTCCTCTTTTTAGGCAACTTTAGCATGGGGGCAAACACTTATTCACACCACTGTAAATGACCCACTTTAAATAGACGTGAAGTATCCCTTTAAATTAAGTACAATCAACTTGGATATTTAGGTAATTTCAACTTAAATGGCCTTGACATGAGCTGAATCTGAAAAAAAAAAAACTTGCTTTACATATTTTGATGAGTTAAAGCATTGTAAAAACATATGTTGTCATAACTTGTATGATTTTCCACAGTGTGTGAGGGACTTGTCCCATTCAGTGTCTGATTATGACCCCAAAAACAATTTGGACAATCAAACACGAGTTTGTAAATCACATTAGATAACAGTAAAAGCCCAGATGACACTTGATCTCTAATGTAATGACATTTTTAAGTGTGGCCGCTGCGGTGTATTGGCGTGTTGTTCTGTCCTGCTCTATAACAGTGGAATAATGCATCTCCGAAGCGCTTTAAATGTCAGATTTAGTCTATGCACAAGAGTTGATGAGAGCTAGACCTCGGCACACTGTTTACTTTTGCGCTCGTAAACACATTAACTCCTTTTCAAGAAGTCCTTTCGGTGAAGGCAGTGGAGTGGATAGCGAACCTGTCTGGATGCCCTCAGCGTTTTCAGCCCAGCACCTGCGCCACACGAGGAAAATACCGCAGCATCTCCGGAGTCTGCAATAACAGGTATCTCACTCCCATCTTAATCATTTATCCATAATGCAGCAGGAGGCGGTTTGAAAGCACAGGAATCCGACTCTCGGTTAACTTCTCCGTGGCCTTTGTGAAGAGAATCGGGCCGATATGATAAGATGACCCGCGTCCAGACGGGTCAGACGAGAATATCACTAAACAATATAAGAAAAATATCTAGACCTTAAATATTCATACCCGCCCACCCGACTGCGACTGCAATGAAGGACGTGCTTCTATTGAGCTGATGCTGTGTGCAATCATATAAACATATTTTAATCAGAATAAACTAATCTTTTGCATTAGGATGCCTATCATTGATGTAGTTTCATGGAAATAATGTTTGGCTCTCTGGACTGGCTCGGCTTGCAAGATTTATTGCATTAATTTTACATTTGCGGGAGGAAATGTACCATGTCTGTCCAGTTCTGATGCATCAAATTATATATTTTTTAATGGAAAAACATATTTAGTTCTGATTAAATGTATCTGAATGAGTATTTTCATTTACAACCATGTTAAACATTTCTGCAAATCTTGTATAATTATTACTGGAGCTTGACCAACTACAGTATATAAATCTGTCAAAATCTACTATAGAGACTAGAATATCACACAGACTGGATGGTGGACTCTTTTACGCTTGAGACCATATGGAATCACCCAGAATATCCTAGCAACACCCTAGCAACGCCCTGACAACAACTTGTTATTAAGCTGAATAATGACACTATTGTCTTCATTGATCATTGACTTGGTTATCTTCCTGTTTAGCTGCTTTAAAAGAGTCTGAATAAAAGTGCATCACTACGGAGCCCCTCTAGTCCCACTTTGGTAAAAAAAAATTAATTATAACTATCTTGTGGCCTCAAGATAGTAACTCGTGGCCTCAAGATAGTAACTCGTGGCCTCAAGATACTAACTCGTGGCCTCAAGATAGTAACTCGTGGCGACGAGATACTAACTCGTGGCCTCGAGATACTAACTCTATCTTGAGGCCACGAGTTACTATCTTGAGGCCACGAGTTACTATCTTGAGGCCACAAGATAGTTATAATTATTTTTTTTTATCAAAGTGGGACTAGAGGGGCTCCGTACATCACTCACATCTTCTTCAGAAAGTGTAAAGTTTAGTTATACATGTACAAAAATGTGCTACATTTGTGACTAAATAAAAGAAATGCATTCAAATCTGATGATTAAAACGGAAGAAAAGCATGTGTGACGGTTTTATAAGTAATGTAGAAAGTGCAATAGGTTGAGTAAATGAAAGTGCCGGTGATGCTATCTCAAAACCACACTGCATTGACAACTAAACAAGAACATTCCATGAGAAAAGAATTAACTCCAATATTGGTTTATATTCAGTGAGAGTATTTATGCATTGCATTGAGCCAGTATTTGAAATGCATGCAAAGCCATTATTAGTCGCGTCCTGTAATCTTTGAGATCATGCAATGCAGTGTTACCCAAAACCCAATGCAAGGAAGGACAAATATTGCATTGACAAAATAATGTAAACATGCAGTACTTTAAAGGAGTAGTTCACTTTTTTTTTAAAAACTTTTGCTGATAATTTACTCACCCCCATGTCATCCAAGATGTCCACATCTTTCTTTCTTCAGTCCAAAAGAAATGAAGGTTTTTGATGAAAACATTCCAGGATTTTCTCCATATAATGGACTTCAATGGGGTCCAAACGGTTCAACGTCCAAATGAGAGTTTCAGTGCAAACTGTTCAAAGGGCTTTAAATGATTCCAGACGATGAATAAGGGTCTTATCAAGCGAAGCGATCACTAATTTTTTTTAAAAATAACAAAGTTTAAGTTTTATAAGCTCAAATGGTCGCCTTACTCTGTTAGGGTTAGGGTGTGATGTGTGTTTGTGAATCTCCTATTCGAAGTCGTTCATCAAAATGAACGAATCTTTTCCCAAGTCAACTCATTCATTTTGTTCGTTGAATGAACCAAATGACACGAAAAAATATTTGTTCATTTTGATGAATGAATTCGAACAGGAGAGTCACGAACGTGCATCACAGAGCAAGGCGAGCATTTGTACTTATAAAATTAAAACTTTGTTATTTATTTATTAAATGAGTGATCGTTTCACTTGATAAGACCCTTATTCATCGTCTGGAATCGTTTAAAGCCCTTTGAACAGTTTGCACTGAAACTCTCATTTGGACCTTGAACCGTTTGGTTCCCATTGAAGTCCATTATATGGAGAAAATCCTGGAATGTTTTCATCAAAAACCTTAATTTCTTTTCGACTGAAGAAAGAATGACATGGACATCTTGGATGACATCAGGCTGAGTAAATTATCAGCAAAACTTTTTTTAAAAGTGAACTACTCCTTTAACTAGTACAGCAGATAAACATGTTTGTTTTGCAGTTTCCTTGTACTCTTTAAGACTGTGATGCCATGAGACCTTTCCGATCCCATCCATTCATACTGTGTTGTTTAGGAAGAACCCGCTTTGGGGATCAGCCAACACCGGCTTGGCCAGATGGATCCCTGCGGAGTACGAGGACGGAGAAAACCAACCCAAAGGCTGGAACGCTGGACGCTTATACAACGGCTTCCCACTTCCTCTGGTGAGCGGCACAACAATACACAGGATACATGGAAGCAACGACTAGGAATAATGTCCAAAAAAAATTATAATTCTCTAGGGGATTTGTTTATTTATCTATGTACATTAAAAAAGGGACAGTGTACATTAATTAACATTCATGAATGTAAATTTACCCAAATTATCCCGAAGGCTAGATTTCATTGGCAGTCCCTTAGCCAGATGTTATTAGGCCTAAAAACTAGAGGGAATGAGTTACCTTGAATGAAATATGCAAAAATAAATTATTTTTAAATTAGAACGGCTAATCAAAATATGAATATAGTATAATGGTGAATAAATAATAAAACAACAGTCCCCAATGTGGAAAAATACTGTTTTTCAGCCTGAGAATTCACACTCGACTTCTGTGAACATTAAGCCCCGCCTCCTGTGATTTGATTGGTCATCTCAAACATTTTGACATTGACGAGCGCTGTTTGACCGGCCTAAACATGTAACTTTTTTGTCAACTTATTGTCTAATTATTGGCTCCCCCTTAATATCAATGGTGGTTATGGCAAGAACATTTTCTTTTTAAATTGTTTTTTATTTAGTTTAGTTCAATACAAGTATCAAAACATTCTTATATTCTAAACAAAATTATAATTACTCAAGATGTGAAGTCTGTTTACTGTTAAAAGTATTTAAAATGAAGTGAGTTTTGCTGAAAACAAGAACAAATATCTGTCAGTGAGGTCAGAGAGGTTTCATTTGTATTATTATGTTTTAATTTTCTTACCCCATTGGCAAACAATTTTTTTATTTTTTTATTTTTTAAGCATAAACTCACTTAATGTTGATACATTTTTCAAAAAACAAGACTTAAAGGAGTAGTTCACCTTAAAAAAAAACTTTTGCTGATAATTTACTCACCCCCATGTCATCCAAGATGTCCATGTCTTTCTTTCTTCAGTCGAAAAGAAATTAAGGTTTTTGATGAAAACATTCCAGCATTTTCTCCATATAATGGACTTCAATGGGAACCAAACGGTTCAAGGTCCAAATGAGAGTTTCAGTGCAAACTGTTCAAAGGGCTTTAAACAACACCAGATGATGAATAAGGGTCTTATCAAGGACCCTTCGAGTCATGACTCGAAAAAAGATTGTTAATTTTGATGAACGAGTTCGAACGGGAGAGTCACGAACGCGCATCACAGAACAGAGCAAAGCGACCATTTGTGCTTATAAAACTTAAACTTTGTTATTTATTTTTTAAATGAGCGATCGTTTCACTTGATAAGACGCTTATTCATCGTCTGGTGTCGTTTAAAGCCCTTTGAACAGTTTGCAGTTTTGCACTGAAACTCTCATTTAGACGTTTGGTCCCCATTGAAGTCCATTATATGGAGAAAATCCTGGAATGTTTTCATCAAAAACCTTAATTTTTTTCGACTGAAGAAAGAAAGACATGGACATCTTGGATGACATGATGGGGGTGAGTAAATTATCAGCAAAAGTTTTACTACTCCTTTAAGTAATTTTGCTTCTCCAGTAAATGAAAAAGAAGACTAAATGAACAACAAAGAAATGTAATGAATGAGTAATGCAGTGCGGATTATGGTGGTCATGATCATGATGATTTTTGAACGAGACTCTCAAAGAGAGTTTGAGAGAGCATGTTGACATCGTACTTCAAATCATAGCATACTTGTTTGCTTTGCATACATATAAGCAGATTTATAATAAAAACTCTGTGAACGTCTGCCAAATAAGCTTGAGAAACCGTTCCATATTAAACAGCCCGATCTCACATCTACCTGTGTGACACATTGGCCTTTCGCTGCTCCATTATCGCATTAAAAATGCAAAGCTATGCGCGCTGTTTTAAATATGCACAACCTCTACTTTCCCAATTCAAAGAAAAACGAGCATCTCTGCCATCGCGTCTCGCTGAAACTATTTTTTTTTAATGAGGCGAAGGCAGCAGCACTTTAGTGCAAGAAGTTTCATGACAAATGTTCATATTGTCACATCTCACATGGAGCTCGCAAACACACTTCCGTCTAATGTAGCTATACCGGTTTAATTGCTAGTGGTTTTAATGACATTTTAACAGGTAAACAAACTCTGGCAGAGGGGTATAATGAGATTTCCTTGACTGTTCACACACACATCAACACATCAGGGGTCGTTTTCTTTTCATGCATTTATTTCATTTACCAGAGCAAATCCCAATGTATTATATGCATAAGCACAACTGCATCGAATTCAGGTATGGTGTTGAGAATAGTTTAAGTGCTAAGGGTTTTTTGTTTTGTTTACTGTAGTTAGGGTTATGAAAGGGTATTTTTTAACCCTATCATATTTCATACACAAATTTCTGTGGCCTCTAAATGAAATAATAATAATAATAATAAACTTTATTTTATATAGCGCCTTTCAAAAATATCTCAAAGCGCTTCACAAATATAGAAACATAATAAAACATAGAAACCTAGAAAGGCAAAAGGCCTTGATTGAACAAATGACTTTTTGCTGTGAAATCTTCACAGATTTTTATAAAGTTAACATAAGAATAACTATGATATTGTTAGTATTAGGAATAATATTTCAAGAACAAGATCAAACTACTTTGGTTAACATGATAATGTGCAGCAAATATGATCATTAGGCTTTCGGGGAAGGTTTATTTGTTCATCCCTCACTCATCATTGTATTGCATTTAGGGCTGTGCAAAGATTAATTGCGATTAATCGCATCCAAAATAAAAGTTTGTGTTTACATAATATATTTGTGTGTGTTGTGTATAATTATTTTGTATATATAAATACACACACATTCATGTATTTATTTAAGAAAATGTGTTATTCATATATAAAATATAGGGCTGTCAAACTATTAATCGCGATTAATCGCATCCAAAATAAAAGTTTGTGTTTATATAATGTATGTGGGTGCACTGTGTTTAATTATTTTATATATAAAAAATACACACACATGCTTGTATATTTTAGAAAAATTATTATTTATATATAAAATATTATATTATTTAAATTATATATAAAACTATATACAGTATATACATGAAAATATGTCTAAATATATACAAGCATGTGTGTATTTATATATATGAAGAGTTCAGATGCAAAAACCTCTAAATGACATTTGAAATTTTCTTCTTTAATGATGATTTTGATCAAACTTGTATATTTAAGTTCAGTAATTTCACTTAAATAACAAGTAATAGGTAATTATCATTGACATTTAAGTGAAATCACTGAACTTAAATATACAAGCTTGATAAAAATTATCATTCTAGAAGAAAATTTAAAATGGCACTTAGAGGCTTTTGCATCTGAACTCTTCATATATATATATAATTATACACAGTGCACCCACATATATTATGTAAACACTTTTATTTTGGATGCGATTAATCGCGATTAATCGTTTGACAGCCCTAATAAAATATTTAAATTTATATATAATATAGATTATGTATTTATATATTTACAGTATTTATGTGCAAATAATTTCCATAATAATTTCGAATAATTTTGTCAAAAGAATAGTTTTTTTTTTTTTAATTTCAGAGTAATATTGATGATGTTTTGTCAGAAAAAGAATGTGTAGGTTTTATAAATTTAGTTATACAAGTTAAACGTTTTAAAATTAATTTAAATCCATTGAAGTCAATGGCTTTAAAACTGGTTATTATCATAATTCTTAAATATACATGCATGGATATGTATTTATACATTATGTAAACACAAACTTTTATTTTAGATGCGATTAATTTCAATTAATCTTTGCACAGCCCTAATTGCATTGCATTATGTTTTAAAACTACAGTTTTGATCATATTTTTGGCAGAAATAGTGACGACTGATATTTATGTCAGAGTTGCATTGCATAATTTGTCCACATAAATATCAGAATCTGCACAAAATTGCAGGTTTTTGCTCAGTCTGAATAAAACTGAGCTGGTTTTCTCTCCATATTCTCACATTATCATCCTATATGAGCCATAAAAACCTATGTGCATTTAAAAAAAAAAAAAAAAAAGATTTTTTTTCATTCTTCATAATAGATGATTACCTGTGTCAGGCTTTACAGGGTTAAACATTAAGGGTTATCCTTTAGCTTGTAACCCGTCCAGCAGCATTTGTGACACATACTATATAATTATCATGACTTTAAATCAAAGAAAGCACCTTCAGAAAAAGTAAAATCAGGTTATGTCTGTATATTTATGTTCTGTATCTGTAAAAATGATGATCATAATGATGGCAGTGCATGGGAGAATCTGCAACTGGTCTCTTGATTTGATTTGTGCATTTGAAGGTTCGAGAAGTCAGTAATAAAATCATGCGTGGCTCCAGCGTGCTCGTCCTGGAGGATAAGGTTTATTCCCAGATGCTGGTGGACTGGGGCCAGTACATCGACCATGATATCTCCTTCACACCTCAGAGCTCCAGCCAAACAGCGTTCACTGAGGGACTGGACTGTCTGAACACCTGCACCAATGCCGACCCCTGCTTCCCCATACAGGTACACCTCAACAATCAGTGCTTTCAGTCATTTACAGCCATGCAAGTCAGTGTTGAGGACACACTCTGAAGCTGTAGCTTACCGAGATACGAGATGCTAATCATTTCAGCTACAGACATATTACTTGTTTTGACTTCTTTGTGCGGTATTCAAATTTTAAGTTTAGTCGACTTGAAATGTGACTTTGTACTAAGTGACAACTTGGATATTTGAGTTGACTAAACTTAAATTTTTTAAAGTTGAAGTGAAACACTTTTAATAGTGTTTTATCATTTAAATACTATTAATATTTTGAATGAGTAATATTTTGATGAAAACATTCCAGGATTTTTCTCCATATAATGGACTTCAATGGGAACCAAACGGTTCAAGGTCCAAATGAGAGTTTTAGTGCAAACTGTTCAAAGGGCTTTAAACGATTCCAGACGATGAATAAGGGTCTTATCGAGCTAAACGATCGCTCATTTAATAAATAAATAACACAGTTTAAGTTTTATAAGCTCAAATGCTCGCCTTGCTCTGTTCTGTGATGCGCGTTCGTGACTCTCCTGTTTGAACTTGTTCATCAAAATGAACAAATCTTTTCCTAGTCAACTCGTTCATTTCGTTCGTTGAATGAACCAAATGACACAAAAAAAGATTCGTTCATTTTGATAAACGAGTTCGAACAGGAGAGTCACGAACACGCATCACAGAACAGAGCAAGGCGACCATTTGAGCTTATAAAACTTAAACTTTGTTATTTATTTTTTAAATGGCCGTTCGTTTCGCTTGATAAAACCCTTATTCATCGTCTGGTGTCGTTTAAAGCCCTTTGAACAGTTTGCACTGAAACTCTTGAACCGTTTGGACCCCATTGAAGTCCATTATATGGAGAAAAATCCTACAATGTTTTCATCACAAACCTTAATTTCTTTTCCACTGAAGAAAGAAAGACGTGGACATCTCGGATGACATGGGGGTGAGTAAATTATCAGCAAAAGTTTTTTAAAAAGTGAACTACTCCTTTAAGTATTTCATGCATAAATGTTGAAAGTGATGTTTTGGAATAAAAACAAAGCTTCAATCCATCCCATTAGGATCTATAGAGATCATATACGTGATAACCGTTTCTATTCAAAAGAACAAAAAAAGTGTGTATGCCTTTGACAAAACAAAAGCGATCGTCTCTTTAAATTAAAGGGCGGGGCTTTCACTCTTGAGTCGCTGGCTCTCATTGGTTATTCTACAGTCTCCTTCTCATACTGTCTCTGGTGTTGTGTGTTATTAACCACGAGCAACATCTTTTCTCATATGGCAGCTAGTTTTTCAGCTATTGACTGGATAAAACATCCCCCTAGACATTTCATTAGAATTATCTCTTTTGTGCTGACATGCCGTGTCAAAGAGCAGGTTACTGTTCTCATTTCTAGAATTCATTGACAGAAGTTCATTTCGTTTAAACGGATAAAATGCCATGCGTTTCCTCAGGGGGGACGTCTTTGTCTAGCGCTCGCTTTGTCTGGAATATAGTTCAGGACTGTTGGTTCGGAACAACGGAGATGAATCCGCGAATGTGGCTGGCCACTATAATTAAAAAGAAAATATATCTCATTGATTACTTCTTTATCTCAGGCGAACCTCAAACGCCATTGAAAATGGGGGTCACGGCAGCACCTTTTTGTTGGCCGGTCTGGATCCTCCGGGGCTCCAGATGCTCATAAAAATGTTGGGAGTTTGTGCCGGTTTGTAACTAATCTCACTGTCCCCAGCCAGAGGCAAGGAGGACACTTCCATAGATATACAAAATAGCTTTTTATTCATGCCCACCCTGAGCCATATACTGCATACTAATACTCATCATAGAGCGGCCGCTCTCGGCATCCGATCAGAAAATAAACAAAAAGATTTGTGATCAATTTTGCAAGTGAGTTCACCCCTGAGGAGTGTGTTTTGTTTTCGCTCTTCCGAAGCTCAGGAGATTCAGAGCGTAATTGTTTATTCAACATGAAATGACATTGCATTTTGCTTCCGTAATGTGAAACATTGGGATTTCGCAATTGTCAACTTCACTATTACGATGCTTCACGACGCTGAATGTGAACAAATTAGCAACACATCCGAGACACAAGGCAGCGAGGCAATAAAACATGGAAATGCAAATGAAATTATATAGACTCAGAGCTATGTGCAAATATGCTTTTTAGCTTCAGCTCAATATTGATCTGTATGCATAGCCTACTATATCGATTTAGCTCTGATTGATAATTTGCACATGAATAGATTCATATGAGGAATATAGTTCAGCCAGTAATGAATATTTGTGCAGCCTCATGCCATTTACTTGCCATTGACTTTTTTTTTTCTCTCTTCCAAGCAACAATTAAGTGGAAAAACACAGAAAAACGGCCGAAAATTAAAGCACCACGATTATAGGGCTGGGTAATAAAAATGCATCTTAAACAAAGGAAAGTCATTTCAACATTAGTATCAGAAGCATCTCTGCATAAATCAGACTAGAAAGCACATTACAAGCATGCAATATTCATAATGTTGCTTAGTTTTATATCACCAAAATTAATATTCAAAATATCACCCAGCCATAAAAGTCTGTTTGACTTGTGCACTATTATTTGATATCAATGAAGGTGAACTATTGCTATTGCTACTAATGCTAGGCCTTTTCACTTTCATATCACGAATATATAATAAATCGGTCCACTTTACAATAAGGTTCATTAGCTAACGTATTAACTAACATGAACTAACCATGAGCAATACTAAAAATACAGCTGTTCATGTTAGTTCACAGTGCATTCACTAATGTTAACAAATACACCCTTTGATTTTAATAATGTATGAGTAAATGTTGCAATTAACATGAACAATACGAGCAGGTCATTATTAGTTTTATTAGTACACTTTTGAAAAAACTTTTGCTGATAATTTACTCATCCCCATGTCATCCAAGATGTCCATGTCTTTCTTTCTTCAGTCGAAAAGAAATTAAGGTTTTTGATGAAAACATTCCAGGATTTTCTCCATATAATGGACTTCAATGGGAACCAAACGGTTCAAGGTCCAAAAGACAGTTTCAGTGCAGCTTCAAAGGGCTTTAAACGACACCAGACGATGAATAAGGGTCTTATCAAGTGAAACGATCGCTCATTTAATAAATAAATAACAAAGTTTAAGTTTTATAAGCTCAAATGCTCACCTTGCTCTGTTCTGTGATGCTCGTTCGTGACTCTCCTGTTCGAACTCGTTCCTCAAAATGAACGAATCTTTTTCCGAGTCATTTAGTTCATTCAACAAACAAAACGAACGAATTGACTCAGGAAAAGATTCGTTCATTTTGATGAACAGGAGAGTCACGATTGCGCATCACAGACTAGAGCAAGGTGACCATTTCAGCTTATAAAACTTAAACTTTGTTATTTATTTATTAAATGAGCGATCATTTCGCTTGATAAGACCCTTATTCATCGTCTGGAATCATTTAAAGCCCTTTGAAGTTGCACTGAAACTGTCTTTTGGACCTTGAACCGTTTGGACCCCATTGAAGTCCATTATATGGAGAAAAATCCTGGAATGTTTTCATCAAAAACCTTAATTTCTTTTCGACTGAAGAAAGAAAGACATAGACATCTTGGATGAGTAAATTATCAGTAAAAATTTTTTCAAAAATGAACTACTCCTTTAACTAATGAACCTTACTGTGTAAAGTCAGTGTTACCAATAAATCTTCCAACTCCAACAGAATGAGCAAAACTGGTTTTAGAAACGCTTCTACACACAGTAATCTCTCTCTCTCTCTCTCTTACACACACAGATTCCCAAGGATGATAAACTGTCCAGGAATAAAAGCTGTCTCCCGTTTTTCCGCTCTTCTCCGGCCTGTCTAACCAGCGTCCAGAGCCGGCGAGAGCAGATGAACTCGGTCTCGTCCTTCATCGACGCTTCAACCGTCTACGGGCACTCAGCAGAGCTGGAGAAGACGCTCCGAAACCTCTCTGGCTCCGAGGGTCTGCTGGCTGTCAATGTTAAACACACGGACGCGGGCCGGTCGTTCCTGCCCTTCGTCTCCGTGCGGTCCGCGTGCCTCCAGGGTCCCGGGTCGGAGCGGGTCGAGTGTTTCGCGGCGGGTGACAGCAGGGTGAACGAGATCCTGCCCCTGTCTGTCCTCCACACGCTCTGGGTGAGAGAACACAACCGGCTGGCCCGACACCTGACACGACTCAACCCTCACTGGGGGTCAGAGGTCGTCTACCAGGAGACACGCAGGATCATTGGGGCGCTGCATCAGGTAACAGACGCCGCGAAACTGTGAAAAAAACACTTATTCACTTTTAGTAGTTCACTTTTAAAAAAACTTTTGCTGATAGTTTACTCACCCCCATGTCATCCGAGATGTCCATGTCTTTCTTTCTTCAGTCGAAAAGAAATTAAGGTTTTTGATGATTTTTCTCCATATAATGGACTTCAATGGGAACCAAACGGTTCAAGGTCCAAATGAGAGTTTCAGTGCAGCTTCAAAGGGCTTTAAACGACACCAGACGATGAATAAGGGTCCTAAACGCATTAAATAACACATTATTTTTTCCATAACCAATTAATTACATTAATGCTTAAAATCAACATCCCTAATATATAGAATTTCAACTCTCAAAAGAGTGTACCTTTAAAGAGACGGTAGTTGACGTCTGGTTAGCTGTGTTTGAAGCACCACTCTTTTGCAAAAACCACTTGCATAAAATTTGCAAATATCCAAAACAATTCCTTAATAAAAGTGCCACTCTCATATAGTCATCGTTCAGTTCACAGTGTTTATAACCGCACAGTGACAGCGGCTAATCTCTAACACTGTCACATACGCTATTTCTCTTGTCTGAAAGTGTCCAATTAAAGTCTTATCGACAGTTTCAGAAACAGCTTTAGGGGATCAAAACTGCTTTATATTAATATACAGTTTTCATAACAGCTGAGATGGGCTCGTGTCTTATGATTCAGAACAGTGTTGCTTTAGTGTCATTCTTTAGTGACATACTATTGACATACAGTGACATACAGTGTTGTCTTTAGTGACATACTATTATAGTTCATATTAATATTCTGAGTTTGTTTTTATTTTACCTGTTTTCATTTAAAGTTTTAGTAATTTTGTTGTGCATTTGTTCTTTTTTTATTTTGAATCAATTTCTAGGTTATTTTAAGACATCAAGTTAAATTAAATGAAAATGAGACATAATATCTGTATAAAACATAAACATGTTTTATTTTACAGTTTATTTTATTTCACGTAACGGAAGTTGTTCACGGTATTATGTTAAAATTTTAGTAATTTTGTAGTGTTATTTTCATTTTTAATACGTCTAAATGTATTATACGTCTAAATGTATTATTAAAACTATTATTAATTAGTTTTTGTTTTTAAACATGTCTAACAAAAAACAAAAATGTATTATGTGTTATTATTATTATTACTTAGTTTTGGATTTTATTAAACATGTTTAAGAAACAAAAATGAATTAATAATAATAATTATTATTATTATTTATTTAATTCCATTAAATAATTATTTTTAATTTTTATTTAAAAAAATATTATTTAATTTTACTGTTATTTAGTTGTTTATTTTTTAATGTCTAACAAAACACACACACATTATGATATAACTGCATGTCTTTGCATTAGTGACAGTTCACCTAAAAATGAAAACTATGATCAGAATAATGTTCATTTTAAGATCTGTCATTAATGTGTTCACTCAAACCTTAAATGACTAGAAGGGGGTGCACATACTTTTAACCATGCTTGTGATCTATTATTAAACGTTGCAGTATAAATGACTCTTAGTTACATGATGAAGCTGATGAATGGCACGCTCTCCTCCTGTGCTGAACACACACACACACAGATCCGCCACACTGGGCAGAGGAGAAACTCAGGGATTAAAGGCCTTGAGCCGTGGATGTTAAACCCTCCTCCTCTCCAAGCGGTCCTCGCTGAATCAAAGACACATTTGATCGCTCACACAAGCATCTCTAAGGTTGGCCCCAGAAATTAAAGTGGCAGAGAAAGTGACTGTAAAGTAGTGCAGAGTCATGGCACACATCAAACGAGCGCAGCGTTTTAACAAAGTCCCGCAGGACCCGACTTCACACAACCAGTAAAAACCCTTTCCAGTCCTGCTGTATTTAGGGTTTATGGACAGCGGGTTTGAATTTTTATACGTCCCCTCTGTCAGTCAGACACGCTTCTGAAACATCTCTGTGCTGGACTACTTTCAGAACAGCGATAAGACTGGATGAATTTTTGAGGCGTATCACAGCCATCTCATCTTATCTCCAGGCACAGGACGTCCATCTCACACAGCCGAGTTTATCTACAATATCCCCATGGACCAGTCCCGCTCGCATTAGTTAGCAAACACACCGTGCGTTTCTCAAATTAGCATCTACAGATTTCAGAATCAGAGTATCATTTAGCAGATCTCTGGGGCACAGAGAAGTGTGTTCAGGATTACAATTTTGAAGTTTTTTCTTGTGATGATTTTCATTTATGTATTTATTAAGCACTTTTACACAACTGGTCATTAAATAAAGTGCTCTACAAAAATAGAGGCAAAAACACAGCCATACAAACACACACATTGACGCCACAGTTACTTTTTTTTTTTTTTTACGGTCGCTATTTTTTCAATACTTGTTTTCAATACAAATTTCCTAAACTAGTCTTAACGCACAAACATACCTACAACACACAATTGGCAAAACAGTTAATTTCATGCTCAATATCACACGTTGTAAACTGAACTTCAACACTAATTTTCAAAATATTGAGCAACAATACATGCAAACGTGTCTCAAAATCAAATATTTTTTAAAACATTAACATATGTTCTTGTCCAACAGGAAGATTTAGTCAATCACTCTTAGAAGAAAAGGTTCTATCAGCGCTACGTATTTGGAATCCCTAAAAGGTTCCATACACTCTTAAAAAAAGGGTTCCTCTGGGTTCTATATAGAACCCTGGGGTTCCATACTTGGCCAATAGAACCTTTTACCAAAAAAAAAAAAAATGACCATTTTGCAGTTCCATATATGAAGCGGGGGATGGAACCATTTCTGGTTCTAAATAGAACCATTTCTAGCACAATCAATGTCATAAAAACACAAACCTCAGACGGAATTACAGAAACTGCATTATTTTACATGATAAAATGTGTCATTACTACCCTATCTCACGACCAATTCGTACGAGTGATTCAAAAGTGGCTAATTCGTACTAATTCATACGACCTCACTCGTACGTATTTGTCTAAACGTCTAAAGCCACGTGACGGTTATGTTTAGGGGCGGGGTCAGGGGTAGGTCATTCGTACGAATTCACACGAATGGGCTAATTCGTAAAATATGTACGATTTAGCAAAATCGTACTAATTCGTACGAGTGAGGTCGTACGAATTAGCCACCTCGTAAAATTCGTACGAATTCCCGTGAGATCGGGTTGGTCATTATCGTAGCATCGCGTCTCTGTGGTTCATGTTGGCTGTAAATAGGCTACCGACTCTCTGTTTATATTGTTTTTCTTGCAGATCATAACCATGAGAGATTACATTCCAAAAATCATTGGCCAGGCAGCTTTCGATGAGTATATCGGACCATACGAGGGTTATAACGACTCAGTGAATCCTTCGGTGTCGAACGTGTTCGCCACGGCTGCGTTCCGCTTCGGTCACGTGACCATCTCACCTGTGCTCACGAGACTCAACCGGAGCTTCCAGGAACACGAGCGCTTCCCTTCTCTGAGTCTTCACCAGACCTTCTTCAGCCCGTGGAGACTCGTACAACAAGGTTCCTGATCATTTTATTGTGATCATCACTGTGTAGTCTGATCCACTTTACACTTTATTCAGATCAAGAGTGTGTGTATGTGAGAGTGAGTGTGTCACGCCGTGTTGCATATGGGACGTGGGCGCCATCTTTACAGGCACGATCTTTGTTTACCTTCGGGATAATAGTGGGTGTTTGGCTAAAATGAGGCAAAATTGAAGAATAACGGAAGAAATGGAGATGTTTAAAGAAAAAGAGAAGGGACCCTACCGGGCTAAACTAAATGCTACTGCCAAAAAACGTAATTTGGACAAACTATCCGCCATAAACAACGTTGATATCTGATTTAGTTTGTGTTAGAAGCCTATGCCAAGTTGATTACTATTGTACATAAAGTTCAAGCTATTTTCTCATAATTAATGTTAGCTTGCTATTTTCAGCCTATGTGTTGAGTTTTCATAGGTTGTGCAAGAAAAACATTGCACATTACTTTATAATGCCAAGATGTGGTAACTTGTTCAAATAATCATAAAATGGCCCTGATATGTCACTAGACATTTAGAAATCATGTTCATTTCAAATACTTATATCACTGACAACAGTAGTCTGGCCAGGATATGGTCATTTAAAAAGTGAAGTTGCAGCCCTCAACTGTCATGTTGTGTTTTGGTCTGATGCTCCACCCTCCACCGATCTACCAATCACAAAGTCAGTAGTGTTGCAGCATTCGGGTTGCCAGCTCTGCTCTAGTTACCACAGCTGCAGATACAAACGTGTGGGATAGAAAAATGTTGGATCCTGCAGCATATCTGGCAACCTTGAGTCAGGGGGGATACACCGCTCTACAGTAATTTGAAACTAATTGCAGTACCAGTTTTGGCCACAATCTTACATAAAGCTGTGCCGTCATCATTTAATGTTGATGACACGTGTAAAAATTAGGGTATTTGGTAGTTTATTTTAAAATAGTTGATGTATCTTTGCCCATTTATGTGTACTTAAAGGGTCTTTGTGGATGCAATCAGTACAGAAACAGAGAAGTCACTTAATGTATTTATTAAGCAGTTAAATAAAAACATGGTCCACAAACATTTTTAAAAAGGCATGTAAAGAAATGCACAGAATATCAAAGCAAATTGTTAATTGAACACAAAGTAAATATAATTTGGTTCATGCAATGTGTCCTTGCTTTATCATCTGCTAACATGAACCACAAATTCAACTATCCTCCTAACTGTTAGTCACCGATGAATATACAATACACAACCTCTTGCTTTGTACAACTTTTAACAAACATAGTATGCGGTGGACACTAAGTAAAGTTTTTCCTCATTATTTCCTCATACCCCACGATCCGGCGTCTTCTCGTCAGCTCCTCGACCTGCTTCCCTTATTGTTTTTTTTTTTTCCAAGAAAGAAAGGTGAAAAAACGTATTCCGTTGTTCAGTTTCCTCACTAAACGATCGTGTGACATGCTATGGCACTTGAACTGAACTACCATATCGACGTTTATTAAAATCTCGACAGAAAATCAAAACACAGCCTCCAACACATGCATTTAAATACTATGGTTGTGGACCCATAATGCAACATGACGTGACGCTATCGACGTGTCATCAATCCGGAAGTCGGCCATTTTGGAGGCACGGAACATAAACAATGCCATTGAACTGAACGGACTCGCAAATTTGGCTGATTATTTCTGTTGAAAATGGTCGAGTTTTGGTCTGTACTAATCGGTCGCATCGGGAAAATACCTTTCGAGTTCTATAGACTGTCAAAAGTTAAAGAGAAGAGTGCAAAAAACTGACGAAAGAAGGAGTTTGTGGTTGAGGGAGCCACATCATGAAGCTTTGACCATGGTTAAAATGGTAACGTATTAACTATGACTACATTCACGCTATCAGTACAAATCCGATACTATATCTTTGTATCCGAGTGGAATCTGATCTAAAACGATGTCCATACTGTTTATCGCAACTGTTCAGATCCGATTTATGTGTCAATGCAGCTCTCGGCCATTGACACTGATGGAGGGGTTTGCGTTTGCAATAGAGATGTTTTCTTATTTCATTTTTACAACATGGATATGTGGCCACCGCTGTGCTGGACTATATTGCGTATTGAGCTGCAGAACTGTAGGCTGTTATTAATGTAACGTTACTGCTTTTTTGCGCTCTTGTTTGCATCGGTTTCAATATGTTTCAGAAATAATATTTTCTGCTCGTCCAGCACTTTGCAACAACACAGCTTTGTTTCGGCTGCGACTTGCAGCATGTCTCCTCTAAAAACCACTGACGTTTACATTTTATGTTGCGTGAGAGTCGCATAACGTTATACCACCCGAAATCCGATCGTTCAGACCGAGGCAGATATGTCCTGGTATTTGAATAGGATTTCAAACCACATATGGATGTAAGTTAGCTTGAACCCAATAGAAGGAAGAATTTCAGTACGGACTAGAAGCTAGCTCGTTCGGACCTTTACCACATATTAACTTTAGTTTGTCAAAATATTGCTATATCTCCTGCTTGGTAAGTCCTTCTCTATATGATTTCGCACCTACCACGTTTTTTTCTGTGTTTTTTTTTTTAGTGTAGCAATTTGTTTAGTAGTACATAAACAGTGCAGTCCATGATGTTGTTTACATCCGAGTGCCTCCATAATGGCCGCTCATCCGGGTAATCGCCCAGAATGTGACGTCAGTGTATTTTTTACAGTCTATGGTGTAAACCCTCTATTGATATCAACTCGTAAAAAAACATAAAAACTCTGCGAATCACAACAACACTCATTTAAACAGCATGCACATTTATATAGTGTAATGTGTTACACACCCGAACTTGACTGCACATCACATGTTTGCCGTTATTGAATCTGCTTTCAATCGTAATGCAACGGACCGGTCTACGGGACATAAATGAAGCCTTTAAATAAAAGTGTTATTTTGGGCTGTTAACACTATCATATACAATAAAAGACCACAGCGACAGGAAATAGAAATTAACTCAATTTTTTTTATTATTATTTATTTTTTCGAGCGGCTGTTCAAACACACAACACAATATACCGTCACACTGTGCGCATGTTTTACTAAACATAATTTAACATAAATAACACTTTTTAATTAGCTCACTTAAAGTGTTAATAAGAAATAAATTACTAAATGAATAGAATTAATAAATGTGAAAAGAACAAAAATGTGCGTTACATTTACAAAGAGTGTGAAAGTGTGAGTGTGAAAGAGAGCGGGTGTGACTATGAGTGAGTGTGTGTGTTGTTTTTTACTCATGCAAAATATTGAAACGCATCCCAAGTTAATAAGAAAGTAAAAGAGTGTCAGGGAAGGCTGACTTCATTATAGAGTTGATTCATGCGAACATGTCCAGGCAAGGGACAGAAATATTGAATATGTCAATATTAAATGATGACTGCTGCAACTGGCAGACTCATTAATGAAGCACTGAATAATTTCTCTCATTCAGTTTCTAACTGAATGATTTATAGTTTGAAGTACAACTCAGTTGCACATCAAGAGGACATTTTACATGCATTCTGATTTATAGAAAACATTTTACACCAGTTATATTTGGTGTTCAAATTGGTATTATTTTGATTAACTGGATTACTTTAAACAAACATAATTTGTTCTTGCAACGTCAACATCATGGAATTAAGTAATTTTAAGTGACCACATTTAAGTAGTCTCAATGTAATTTTTTAAAGGCTTCCTGACTATTTTTTTATATTCATTCATACATTTATATTTCAGTGACACTTAAATTGACTATAGCTAGCTATTTGTTAGCAGTTGCACATATTAGCATCTTAAATTGTAAGATTTACATGTTCCTTCAGACAAAGCTAAATAAATTAATTAAATCAGTCGGCAGCCAAACAAAATGGTAACCCAATGTAATTTAATGGTTTAATAATTCCAATGTAATTTAACATTAAACACAATTACACACTATCAAGTCTTCCCCTTTTCTAAATTTCTCCAAAAAAAAACATAAAATAACACATTTTTAAAATAACACATTTATTCTCTCCTATTTCAACCATATGCAAAGCATGCTGGGAACTAAAAGCATCGCCCAGTTTCAGTTAATGCAACACAAATCAATCATGTAATCCGACACAAACGGATGAAGTAAATTTAAGTTGTACATATATTTAAGCAGATTGAACACAATCAAATTAAGTTTGGGCAAAATGGCCGTCGTCTCGCACTATATTGTCACCGTCTGGATGTACAATTTTTTTACTTAACATAAATGGTTTATGTTTAGACAACACATTAGGATTTTGTACCGTTAAGTTGAGACACATTTACTTAGACCTTAATAGAAAAAAAACCCATTTCACATCAAAAAACATGATTATTATAAGTAAGCTAATTATAAATATATTATATAAAGTGCACAACCTTCCAAGTTCATTTTTTTGAGTGCTATATTTAAGAAAATGGCTACAAAATAATAAATCTACAGAAATCTATTATCAATGAAAATATATATACATTTAAAAGTACATTATACATACTACAAATAATTCAATATAAGCTCAGGTTTCTTATATACCTCTGGGATATAATTTCTTTTTTTTAATGTAATATGTTTGGACATTTAACTCATTATTTAATTTATTCCACAATTTAATGCCACTGACAGATAGACCGAAACTCTTCCTAGTAGTTGTGTGTTTCTGATTCTTATTAAGGGAGATGAAGTTAGCAGCTGCCCAGCACTGTGATCCACACTTGTGCAAATCTGTGTCTGTGACGGTCAGTGTTTGATGGCATGTGTTGTTCTCTAAAGGTGGACTGGATCCGGTTCTGCGAGGTCTTCTGGGCCGTCCAGCTGTCCTGCAGAACCAGGAGCATCTCATGACAGAAGAACTGACAGAGAGACTCGTGGTCCTCAACATCCCGGAGTCTGTGGATCTGGCGGCGCTGAACCTGCAGCGAGGACGAGATCACGGCTTACCAGGTTATTACGCTTGTCATCACTGGTGGTCTGGCGCTTTTCACATGCTGCAAACATCTCCTCACTATCCGCTAGCTGGCTGTCCCCTGAACATGCTGTAAAGAAACGTGGTCTCTGTAGCAAGTCAAGCCACATTTATTTATATAGCGCTTTTTACAATACAGATTGTATCAAAGCAGCTTCACCGTGATAACATGAAAATAATGCAACTATATACCACTAACAAGCCTCAGAATTACACCATAAATGTACGTTGATGTGAATAAGTTTGGACACCCATGCTAAAGTTGCCTAAAAAGAGGAATAAAAAAATCATCTTTTGGATATTTATCTTAATGCCTTAATTAGAAAAATGAGGAAAACTCCAACCTTTAAGGACACCAATTTTCTTTGTGAATGAAAAATGTATCATAAATAAATAAATGTTTTTCCTTAAAATACAGGGTGCTTAAGTCAGGACACCCCTATGTTAAATTCCCATAGAGTCAGGCAGATTTTTATTTTTAAAAGCCAGTTATTTCATGGATCCAGGATAATATGCATCCTGATAAAGTTCCCTTGGCCTTTGCAATTAAAATATCCCCACATCATCACACACTTTCCACCACACCTAGAGATTGGCATGGTTTTACTTCAGTTAGCCTAATAGTTGGTTTGATTTTGCATTGAAAGATGATCTTATGGAAAGTACCCCATGCCACATCACTGACTGGATATATTTAAAATAATGTCGGCCACTTTTTACTGGTAACATCAGACATTTGACATTGGACACATATTCCTCCATTGCATTATTATACATTATAATCAACATTATATATAGTAGTTTAATGTAGTATATTTGCACTAAAACTCTGAAAATTGAATTTTTTATTTTGGGGGGACTATCCTCAATACATATTGTCACTGTCCATGATATGTTTTTTGTATTGCAATTATATATTGTTACACCCCTAATACTTTTATATAACCTTTAACCATGTTTCGTACCATTCCGATGAAGTAAAAAAAAAAAGTAAAAATTGGTCAAGATTGACCGAAGAGAGAAAGAAGGTATTAATATCCTAGTCTACTGATACTCTATTTGAGTTAGCTGACATGTAGTTGTATAATTGCGGACCATTGTAATCAGTGGGGTAGTTTTTATTTTGAAATTGGTGGTGAAGGGGACATCAATATAGAAATATAATTTAAGTTTTGATCGTCTTTCTTCCGCAGGTTACAATGCGTGGAGGGTTTTCTGTGGCTTAGACCGAGTTGAAAGCCGATCAGATCTGGCAGAGGTGTTCGGGAGTGATGTTTTGGCAGAGAGAGTAATGGATGTGTATGGACATCCGGACAGCGTGGACGTGTGGCTGGGAGGAGTTCTGGAGCGGCCGGTGTCTGGAGCCCGGACCGGAGCACTCTTCTCATGCTTGATCGGGAAACAGATGAAGGCGCTGAGGGAAGGAGACAGGTGAGACACTGCTCAGCCACTGCTAACCTGCACCATTTGGAGAAAATGTCATATTGCGATTATCAGTGGTGGAATGTAACGAAGTACAAATACTTTGTTACTTTACTTAAGTACATTTTTCACATATCTTAACTTTACTTAAGTAGAATAAATAGTGCCTTTTTACATTTTGCAGCAATTATTATACTTTCTACTCCACTACATTTCTACAACTTCTGTTACATTTTCATGACATTTTCTTTCATTACATCAGTTTTTCCCCTGCCAAAACGTAATCTGACCGTCCTCCGTTCGTTGCACGTTTGTCTCACCAGTGACGTTTGGTTGCCATGGATACATCAACTAAATGCGTCTCGCACGCAGTGTGTTTATCGTGCAATTTATATGCGAAAATTTGTTTTTACATGCATAGGAAACGCACCGTGTGTAATATATACGTTTGGTTAGGATTATGGCAAGCCAAGAGGTTCATAATTACATCATAAATTAATCGCGTTTACTGCCAAACATAGTTATTAACATATAGTAAGGATATGGTTTATATTGCTTAATTGCAAGCTTGTTTCAGAAATGGTGACAACAATTTTTTTCCATCATTATAGGAGTATTAGGTTGAGTGAGTTAGAATTAAATGTTTTATTAATCATTAGAAAATAGACGTTAAGAAAATAAATTATGCAAGTACTTTTACTTTTAATACTTAAAGTACATTTAAAATCAGGTACTTTTTACTTAAGTGTGGTTGTCATTGTGTTACTTCTACTTTTACTAAAGTAAATATTTATCTGGTTATTTGTACTTTTACTTAAGTACTGAGATTCAGTACTTCCTCCACCACTGGCGATTATTGAGGTCATGTGTTAAAGGAGTAGTTCACTTTTAAAAAACTATAAGCAGCTTTTGACAAAAGTGGCGTTATTCAATAAATAGTTATGCTGTTCTGTTTTGACTAGTACAAATGACAGAGGTTTAAGGTTTAAAACAAGTTTTGCTTTCCGTGACCTCATTCCAAACCCTTATTTAACTTGGGAGAAGCACAAGAGATGTTATTTGTCAAATGATTCCTTTAACTTATCATGTTAAAATGCTTAAGATAACACATTGTGATATTTTTGGTGTGATTCAGATTCTGGTGGGAACATCCCGGTGTGTTTTCCCCAAAACAAAGACAAGAACTCCAAAGGCACTCTCTGTCTCGTGTCATCTGTGACAACAGTGGAGTGACGGAGGTTCCTCCTGATTCGTTCAGAGTCGAAACTTACCCGGAGGACTTTCTCTTCTGCGGGAACATCCCGTCATTGAATCTGGAGGAATGGAAAGAACAACTGGATGACGGTTCGTATGGGATGTTTTTTAATTTACAGACACAAATCCTGCTTTTCCAGCTTTTTTTAGAGTGAGATTTTAGGTTAAAATGTACATAAACACTACTGTTTATTTGATATTTTATATAATTGTAATATATATTTAATGAAATTCATATTATATTTTGTTTTATATTGAATTTCAGTATCATTACTCCAGTTTTCAGTGTCACATGATCCTAATATGATGATTTGCTGCTCAACATTTATGATTATTATCAATGAAAACAGCTTCTTCATGTTTTTGTGGAAACCATCATCAAATATTTTCAGGATTCTTTGATGAATAGAAAGAACAGCATTTATTAGAAATATAATCTTTTGTAACTTTATCAAATGTCTTTACTGTCACTTTAGATAAAATTAGAGCGGTCATATAATGCCATTTTTATACAAGTTAATATGATTAATTATGGTCTAAATGAAAACTTTGTAATATACTTTAATTAAAAAATCTCATTAGTATTGTAAGAAAACACTCATTTTACCTGGTCAAACACAATGTGTCTTTAAATGATAATGAGCTTCGCTGACTCCGCCCCTCTGTTCTGTGGGCGTTTTTCTTTCACTAGTTCATCCGAAATAGCCCTGAGGTGTAACAAATTATTCCATGTGGCCTCTCAATTAACTGAACTCATAAACACTGCATGCATAATAACCGTATAATAGAAATAGCATGTCACACCACAGGACACTGCTTAAAGTTTCATGCAGCCTCTGTATGTGTGTCCATGTGTTAACTTCCCAAACGCAGCGAAATATTGCTGTGGAACTTCATGAATAGTAAAGAGGCTTTGAGGAATTACACAGTCTCTATGAGGAATAAAAGACGTGCAGATTCACTCAGTTAAATGGCTTGTGTTCAAACTCGAACTCGTTCAGTCCCAGGAGACGCTGAGCTGGTTTTATCCCCAGTGCGGAAAACTGCTGGTGAACCCGTGGCAGTATTTGTCATGTTCTGACAATGGACCATTTTTCATTTGTACTTACAGTACACTATAGTTCAAAAGTTTGGGGTCTGTGAGATTTTTTTTAATAAATAAATAAATATACTTTTATTCAGCAAGGATGCATTAGACAAACGTGACAGTAAATACATTTATATTGTTACAAAAGATTCTATTTCAAATAAATGCGGATATTTAGAACTTTCTGTTCATCAAAGAATCATAAAAACAAAACAATCGTGTCAAAATGTAACAGTATGAATCAGAACAACAGTTTTTCCAACATAATCAGATCATCATATTAGAGTGATTTCTGAAGGATCATGTTTCATTTCTGAAATTCAGCTTAAGAATATATAATCACATAGAAAAGTTATTTTAAATTATATTTTGCAATATTACAGTTTTTACTGTATTTTTGATTTAATAAACGCAGCCTTAGTGAGCAGAAGAAACGGCTTTCAAAAACATTATATAATCTTACTGACCCCAAACTTTTGAAAGGTTGTGTACATCCACTAATAGTGTTTTCAGGAAATCTTTCAGTGACTGAAAATGTGGTTCTTCCTCTGTATTTCGGTCTTGTTTTCCAGTACAAATATCTAAGCATTCTTAAATCAAGATACATTTAGTTGAGAAGCAAAATGAAGATATTACGTTTTCTGAATAATTTATGAACATATAGTGAGCTGCTTCTCCATGACAAACACAAATATCTGTCGATGGGGTAAGAAAAATAATCTTGTTCCCCGTTGCAATTACGTTTATCACAGATATTTGTTCTTGTTTTATGCTTAAACTCGCTTAATATTGATCAGAAAACAAGACATAATATATTAAGTCTTTTTGCTTCTCAAGTAAATGTATATTGATTTAATAAACACAGAGGGAGAACAATATTTGCAGTGCATCTAGAGAGAATAAAATGCTGATATATGTGCATAAAACAATGACTTGAGGGTACAGGACCGCTAATAAACCACCTGAACATCCCAGGAACTGCTCATTTCGGCTCTTTGCAATTTTCCGGATGTTTGTTCCTGTTCAGTAATTGTGGTTTGTTCACACACGCATTACTGGGCCACAGGTTGTTGGACTGCAGCCGCTCATGCATTGTATCAACAATCATTTTCAATGTGTTCGCCGCTCCTCAGAGTCTGTAATTCTCGACGCTGGAATCTGGCCCAATGACAAATATTGATCCATTATGAGCCTGCGGCGCTGCCAAAACAATTAACGTTAGCAGTCGCACCTGTTACGTGCAATAGAAATGAATCTTTCTAATGAATAATAGGCAAATCCCACGGTGGAGTCCGAGAGAAGCCGTTCACGTCATGCCAGATGCAGGTTTGCATTGGCTTGGCCTCCTGACATCACGGGTCCTGACCCGTTCTGAACACATCTACAGTGTTTATTCAGTCCCGAAGCTCAAGCTGCCTATCAAATAGACTGCTGTCGGCTCTGATAATGTCCTCTGGAGAAGATTGAGTGTGTAAATGGATGTCACCGCCACGTCTGGTCCTCGGGGCATCAACGCCAACATGACGAAAACTGCTTTCAACAATAGGACCAAAAAGAATCTATATAAGGAGAAATGTCTGAAAAATTTAAATTTTGTCATTATTTACTCACCCTCATTCACTCATTCATAGAGATCATCAAACTAATCCTTATTAATTAAGCAGTTTAGTCCAAATCTTCTGAATACACATGATCACTTTATATGATGAACAGATTTAATTCAGGCTTAAAAACATGCAGCTTCCTTTGTATTTTGATGTAAGAGAAGCTGTCAATTCAGAGCTGAAAGTAATACTGGTGGTTGGATTCATTGTAAAGAAGCAACATCAAAAAAACGATTTAATAAATTTAACTGCCAGCTCTCTGAAGGACACAGGTATGAGTTGAATGATGTCTTTGGTTCTTCATTTAATATTGTGTATATGAAGAGTTCAGATGCAAAAGCCTCTAAATGCCATTTGAAATTTTCTTCTTTAATGATGATTTTTGTCGAACTTGTATATTTAAGTTCAGTAATTTCACTTAAATAACAATTAATAGGTAATTATCATTGCCATTTAAGTGAAATTACTGAACTTAAATATACAAGCTTGACAAAAATCATCATTAAAGAAGAAAATTTCAAATGGCATTTAGAGGCTTTTGCATCTGAACTCTTCATATACACATACATATCTATCTATGAATTACAGGAACGTCTGTCTGTCTGTTAATTGAATATCTCTCGAATGAGTAAATGAAATTTGAAATCGTTTGGATTAGAAATGCAAAAGATATCTTTAAATATATCTGTAAAAGAAGCACACATACTCTATCAGCTAAACATTCAACACAAGTCAGCTACACTGTTTACTTAGCTTAAGTAAAAAGGTAGCGATTCTTTTTTGAAAAAAGTAGCGATTTATTTTTGGAAAAAGTATTCCACTTTTGGAAAAGTATTGATTCTTTTTGGAAAAAGTATTGATTCACTTTTGGAAAAGTAGAGATTCTTTTTTGAAAAAGTAGCAATTTATTTTGTAAAAAAATATTGATTCACTTTTGGAAAAGTAGCGATTCTTTTTGAAAAAGTATTGATTCTTTTGTGAAAATGTAGAGATTCTTTTTGAAAAAGTAGCAATTTATTTTGGAAAAAATATTGATTCACTTTTGGAAAAGTAGTGATTCTTTTTGAAAAAGTATTGATTCTTTTGTGAAAAAGTAGAGATTCTTTTTTGAAAAAGTAGCAATTTATTTTGGTAAAATTATTGATTCACTTTTGGAAAAGTAGCGATTCTTTTTGAAAAAGTATTGATTCTTTTTTGAAAAAGTAGCGATTCTTTTTTTTGAAAAAGTAAGTGATTTATTTTTGGAAAAAGTATCGATTCACTTTTGGAAAAGTAGCGATTCTATTTGAAAAAGTAGTGACTCTTTTTGAAAAAGTATTAATTCTTTTTTGAAGAATATTTTTTGAAGTTGATACCATATTTTTTCCATAAGATGAGAATACTCAATGTCCTGAAACTGGTTGCCTCAAGTTTTTGAGTTTTCTCAAATTCTGAATTTTTAAAAAAGTATAAAAAATGGATAATATAATGCATGCTATATTAGAATCTAAAATGCATGTGACGATGTTTGATTGACTTTTTTCTCTGCAGAATAGAGACTGTATCCGAGATGCTGACGGCATCACCAGAGGCTCATTTCCAGCAGCAGAACGGTGACAGAGAATAAAGAGAAAGAGCGGCTGAACAACATGCACATAACTGCAGGACTGATGAATCAAGACTCTCTTTATGTTGGAATATAATACACTGAGCACAGGCTCTAATTAAAGATGGATTAATAATCTTTACACAGACCTGCCTCATTCTCCAACGGCACAAAAGCACTGATCAGCGGATCGGCTGAAAGCATTTAGCTCAACTCTGAAGCCCAATGTAAAATGCATTTTACTGCATGTATGTTGAGTGATGTTAGTTCACTGTTTCAAAACTGAAATATAAATGCAATATTTTCATTCCCCAATTTGTGATTTTATTACTTTTGGGCTGCATTTAATCCATGCATATTAATTATTAAAAATATACAAATTATTAATTGTTCATTGCAAATCGCATATGTATGTTAGCAAATCCGTAATTTGAGCGTTTACGACCTTTTGCGTTCAGAACAAAAAATACGACCAAATTAAGTAGGTTACTGAGTTCGTACAAACTATAGCTACTAGCCTGGGAAAACCCAGACAGCTTCCGGCAAATTTAGATTTGCTCTGAAAGTTAGTCAGGCAAAGAGCTCATTCAAGCCCAATTCCAATCCGTCGAAATCACGGCACCAATCAGAAACGTTGGGACGTGCTTTACACGATGACGACAGCGCTGGGATTGTGAAGCAGATTTTGTAGCCTACGTTACAAAGATGGATGCAACCATCGAACATCACTCGTTCGGATCAGCTATCGTGTCTATTTTAAGCGATTGGAACATTTCCTTTCTGTTAAAGGAGTAGTTCACTTTTAAAAAAACTTTTTGCTGATAATTTACTCACCCCCATGTCATCCAAGATGTCCACAAATGCTCGCCTTGCTCTGTTCTGGGATGCGCGTTCGTGACTCTCCTGTTCGAACTCGTTCAACAAAATGAATGAATCTTTTTTCGAGTCCGTTCATTCAACGAATTTTGATGAGTTTGAACAGGAGAGTCACACAGAACAGAGCAAGGCGAGCAATTGTGCTTATAAAATGCACATAAAAAACATTTGGACCTTGAACTGTTTGGTTCCCATTGAAGTCCATTATATGGAGAAAATCCTGGAATGTTTTCATCAAAAACCTTAATTTCTTTTCGACTGAAGAAAGAAAGATGTGGACATCTTGGATTACACGGGGGTGAGTAAATTATCAGCAAAACGTCCGTTGGCGACACCCCTCTGGAAATGATTTCTCTATGATGCTTTATCTACCATAACTCTAGGGCTGGGTAATAAATATCGATTTCTCGATGTTAATCGATTCTCATTTTTACGAACCGATATCGATTCTTAAATATCAAGTATCGATAAGTCATCCTGTTTCATTTGAATGATTAGAACATTGTATCGAGGCTGCGCGCATCCAAAAAAAAAAAATCGCAATACTCTTTGTCCTTTGTTACTATTGATATGAAACAAAGTCTCAAATTTCAAATTACGTCCATTTTTCCAAATTACCACTGTCGTTTTTTTTTTTCGGGTCGAAATTTTGAGTTGCTCCAATCTTCTTAAAACTCTGGATTCTGATAGAGGGCCATGGGACTTAGACCTGAGTGCAAAAATGGAGGCTCTAGACCCTTCCTGAGCTGAGATATTGAGATACCACATAGCATTTATGCCATTATAAATATCTCAATATCTCAGCTCTGGAAGGGTCTAGAGCCTCCATTTTTGCACTCAGGTCAAAGTCTCACAGCCCTCTATCAGAATCCAGAGTTTAAAGAAGATTGGAGAAACTTATTTTTTCGCTCAAAAAAAAAAAAAAAAACGAAAGGGGTAACACTGTCGTTTTTTTTTTTTTTGGGGGGGGGGGTTCGAAAAAATAAGTTTCTCGAATCTTCTTGAAACTCTGGATTCTGATAGAGGACCATGGGACTTTGACCTGAGTGAAAAATGGAGGCTCTAGACCCTTCCAGAGCTGAGATATTAAGATACCACGTAACATTTATGCCATTATAAATATCTCAGCTCAGGAAGGGTCTAGAGCCTCCATTTTTGCACTCAGGTCAAAGTCCCATGGCCCTCTATTAGAATCCAGAGTTTCAAGAAGATTGGAGAAACTTATTTTTTCGCTCAAAAAAAAACAAAAAACGTAAGGGGTAACACTGCCGTTTTTTTTTTCGGGTCGAAATTTTGAGTTTCCATATCTCAGCTCTGGAAGGGTCTAGAGCCTCCATTTTTGCACTCAGGTCAAAGTCTCGTGGCCCTCTATCAGAATCCAGAGTTTTGAGAAGATTGGAGAAACTTAATTTTTCGCCCAAAAACGAAAAAAACGTAAGGGGTAACACTGTCGGTTTTTTTTTCGAGTCGAAATTTTGAATTTTGATATCTCAGCTCTGGAAGGGTCTAGAGCCTCCATTTTTGCACTCAGGTCAAAGTCTCACAGCCCTCTATCATAATCCAGAGTTTTGAGAAGATTGGAGAAACTTAATTTTTCGCCCCAAAACGGAAAAAAAACGAAAGGGGTAACACTGTCGTTTTTTTTTCGGGTCGAAATTTTGAATTTCGATATCTCAGCTCTGGAAGGGTCTAGAGCCTCCATTTTTGCACTCAGGTCAAAGTCTCGTGGCCCTCTATCATAATCCAGAGTTTTGAGAAGATTGGAGAAACTTAATTTTTCGCCCAAAAACGAAAGGGGTAACACTGTCGTTTTTTTTTCGGGTCGAAATTTTGAATTTTGATATCTCAGCTCTGGAAGGGTCTAGAGCCTCCATTTTTGCACTCAGGTCAAAGTCTCACAGCCCTCTATCATAATCCAGAGTTTTGAGAAGATTGGAGAAACTTAATTTTTCGCCCCAAAACTGAAAAAAAACGAAAGGGGTAACACTGTCGTTTTTTTTTCGGGTCGAAATTTTGAATTTTGATATCTCAGCTCTGGAAGGGTCTAGAGCCTCCATTTTTGCACTCAGGTCAAAGTCTCACAGCCCTCTATCATAATCCAGAGTTTTGAGAAGATTGGAGAAACTTAATTTTTCGCCCCAAAACGGAAAAAAAACGAAAGGGGTAACACTGTCGTTTTTTTTTCGGGTCGAAATTTTGAATTTCGATATCTCAGCTCTGGAAGGGTCTAGAGCCTCCATTTTTGCACTCAGGTCAAAGTCTTGTGGCCCTCTATCATAATCCAGAGTTTTGAGAAGATTGGAAAAACTTAATTTTTCGCCCAAAAACGAAAGGGGTAACACTGTCGTTTTTTTTTCGGGTCGAAATTTTGAATTTCGATATCTCAGCTCTGGAAGGGTCTAGAGCCTCCATTTTTGCACTCAGGTCAAAGTCTCGCGGCCCTCTATCATAATCCAGAGTTTTGAGAAGATTGGAGAAACTTAATTTTTCGCCCGAAAACGGAAAAAAACGAAAGGGGTAACACTGTCGTTTTTTTTTTCGGGTCGAAATTTTGAGTTTCGATATCTCAGCTCTGGAAGGGTCTAGAGCCTCCATTTTTGCACTCAGGTCAAAGTCTCGCGGCCCTCTATCATAATCCAGAGTTTTGAGAAGATTGGAGAAACTTAATTTTTCGCCCGAAAACAGAAAAAAACGAAAGGGGTAACACTGTCGTTTTTTTTTTCGGGTCGAAATTTTGAGTTTCGATATCTCAGCTCTGGAAGGGTCTAGAGCCTCCATTTTTGCACTCAGGTCAAAGTCTCGCGGCCCTCTATCATAATCCAGAGTTTTGAGAAGATTGGAGAAACTTAATTTTTCGCCGAAAATGAAAAAAACGTAAGGGGTAACACTGTCGTTTTTTTTTCGGGTCGAAATTTTGAGTTTCGATATCTCAGCTCTGGAAGGGTCTAGAGCCTCCATTTTTGCACTCAGGTCAAAGTCTCGCGGCCCTCTATCATAATCCAGAGTTTTGAGAAGATTGGAGAAACTTAATTTTTCGCCCGAAAACGAAAAAAACGTAAGGGGTAACACTGTCGTTTTTTTTTCGGGTCGAAATTTTGAGTTTCGATATCTCAGCTCTGGAAGGGTCTAGAGCCTCCATTTTTGCACTCAGGTCAAAGTCTCGCGGCCCTCTATCATAATCCAGAGTTTTGAGAAGATTGGAGAAACTTAATTTTTCGCCCGAAAACTGAAAAAAACGTAAGGGGTAACACTGTCGTTTTTTTTTCGGGTCGAAATTTTGAGTTTCGATATCTCAGCTCTGGAAGGGTCTAGAGCCTCCATTTTTGCACTCAGGTCAAAGTCTCGCGGCCCTCTATCATAATCCAGAGTTTTGAGAAGATTGGAGAAACTTAATTTTTCGCCCGAAAACGAAAAAAACGTAAGGGGTAACACTGTCGTTTTTTTTTCGGGTCGAAATTTTGAGTTTCGATATCTCAGCTCTGGAAGGGTCTAGAGCCTCCATTTTTGCACTCAGGTCAAAGTCTCGCGGCCCTCTATCATAATCCAGAGTTTTGAGAAGATTGGAGAAACTTAATTTTTCGCCCGAAAACTGAAAAAAACGTAAGGGGTAACACTGTCGTTTTTTTTTCGGGTCGAAATTTTGAGTTTCGATATCTCAGCTCTGGAAGGGTCTAGAGCCTCCATTTTTGCACTCAGGTCAAAGTCTCGCGGCCCTCTATCATAATCCAGAGTTTTGAGAAGATTGGAGAAAATTTTTCGCCCGAAAAAAAAAAAACGTAAGGGGTAACACTGTCGTTTTTTTTTCGGGTCGAAATTTTGAGTTTCGATATCTCAGCTCTGGAAGGGTCTAGAGCCTCCATTTTTGCACTCAGGTCAAAGTCTCGCGGCCCTCTATCATAATCCAGAGTTTTGAGAAGATTGGAGAAACTTAATTTTTCGCCCGAAAACTGAAAAAAACGTAAGGGGTAACACTGTCGTTTTTTTTTCGGGTCGAAATTTTGAGTTTCGATATCTCAGCTCTGGAAGGGTCTAGAGCCTCCATTTTTGCACTCAGGTCAAAGTCTCGCGGCCCTCTATCATAATCCAGAGTTTTGAGAAGATTGGAGAAACTTAATTTTTCGCCCGAAAACTGAAAAAAACGTAAGGGGTAACACTGTCGTTTTTTTTTCGGGTCGAAATTTTGAGTTTCGATATCTCAGCTCTGGAAGGGTCTAGAGCCTCCATTTTTGCACTCAGGTCAAAGTCTCGCGGCCCTCTATCATAATCCAGAGTTTTGAGAAGATTGGAGAAACTTGATTTTTCGCCCGAAAACTGAAAAAAACGTAAGGGGTAACACTGTCGTTTTTTTTTCGGGTCGAAATTTTGAGTTTCGATATCTCAGCTCTGGAAGGGTCTAGAGCCTCCATTTTTGCACTCAGGTCAAAGTCTCGC